AAAAATTGACGATAAATGTCTCAATCGCCGATAAATGTCCAAAACTCCTTTAACGATAAATGTCCAAAAATTAACGAAAAATGTCGATACAAATTAGGTGCTCATAAATGTCCAAATCGGTTAACGATAAATGTCTCAACTTTTCATATGTTAATTTGTAATTTATTGTATTGGATACTGTAACAGTCTATCCAACTAACCCGTGATTTTACCCTCTGGTTTACCCCCGACGTAAAATGTATCATACATTATTGTGCATGGCCAGTTGCAGATCCGGATGGGGCGCGGGGGTATGTGCCGAAGTGAACTCACCGAAGCAATACGTTTTAGCATTGTCTGTGTTCTTCAATATTTTTGTGCCCCATATAGCGTTGCCATTGTCCGTCCGAGTGTCTAAGTGTCCGTCCCGAAAGTTTGTGAACGGTATAGGGGCGTGGACAGAGTTGCATATTCCTTTACTGTCAAGTGGTCAAAAGTTACGAAAAATATGCAACTCTATCTGGCAAACAAAGCAGTTAACCTGTATAAACCATGTGAAATAAACAAGGGGTTAACTGCTTTGACAGTTAAAATCTGACCTACTGATTGAACAGCGAACAGTGCAGACCTTGACAGGATTACGCATTTGCTTGTCGGGGGATATGGTTCGTCAATGGTCGTTATAAGCATATACGCAACACGTGTTAAATGGGTTTTGCGACTTTTCTCTTAAGTGCTGCGAAGACGGTCCTTCTCATGCTACATTGATTTAAGACATTTGTATTTGATTATAACTCATTCGCGCGTGGTGGACTGAACGCCACAGCGGGGCAACCGCCTTATAAATACAGAGTTTTGAAAGGCTACTTACATGTATCCCTCCAGTGTCGACCCAGATCAGTTTGCACGCAAATGCGTCACCAGATGAGGGTATGCGCTATTAAACACCAGTAATTGGTAGTTAAGGTTTTGTATGTCCCTACAGTGTGGCATTTTCAAGATCAACCTACATGGTTATACATGAATATAATGTATATATAATCAAGTAAATGTTCAACTAAATAAGGGGAAGTAACTGCTATATTACCATTTTACAGCTTCTGATTGGCTATAATTATGTCATGGGAACAAGATAATTATTTCGTGGGAACAAGATAATTATTTCGTGGGAACAAGATAATATCTCGTGGGAACAAGATAATATATTGTGGGAACAAGATAATATCTCGTGTGAACAAGATAAATAAAGACACCCATGTGTCACATCTGTGTCACCGTAATAGACACTTGACGTAATAGTATGTTTTCTTGCTCTGCTGGTTGGATACAAACATGTACATTTAAAAATTATTTATATGTCAAATATTAACGTAACAATATTATATCAATAACACGTGGCTGTCATTTTGCATTATGCTAACTGGTTACTAAAGCAATTATCGTTTTTACCAATACAGAGTTATGTAAAAGTTATGTACCCCAGGGTGATATAAGAAATATTCCCCGGGGAATATATATTCTAGGAGGGTGATATTCGATCAGAACACATTGTAGGCCTATGGGAGTTTTACATAGAAGGATGTATTAAGGTATAATAATATATAATTAACACATGATTGTCGGGGTGATAGAGGATATTGTCAACACGAGAACTGGTATATTACACTGAGGCGCAGCCGAGGGTAATATGCCAGTTCAAGGGTTGGCAATATCCTCTATCACCCCGACAGCTATGTGTTAGTTATTTTATTATACCGAAAAAAACTCTTAAGTCAGCAGTCTTTGCCTGAAAGAGAATACAGATCATCACTTTACGATTATATCGATTTTGATCTGTAAATGTTCGATATACACACAAATAGTATAATGTATATAGATAAAAACAAGAGACAGACAGACAGACTAGGAAATAAATAATATTATGCTAACTGGGTACTAAGGCATTTTCGCTTTCTGAATGAGTTATGTAAGAGTTTTGTGCTCCAATGTGATATAAGAAATATTCCCCGGGGAATATATTCTAGGAGGGTGATATTCGATCAGAACACATTGTAGCCCTATGGGTGTTTTACATTGAAGGATATATTGAGGTATAATAATATAAATGTTTAAATGACAACATCATATAGCAATTATAATGTTACTATTCGAATACTGTGTAATATTTTTTTTTAATCTGTTGACAAAAACTTTTAACATTTCTTCTCCATTCGACAAACGTTATTTTGAAATTATCACAATTTGTCAATGAATAATAGGTGTTAATGATATGTGTGTAACGTATGTGATATATAATCGACATAATATGTACCCCTGTGCATCCCAGTGTCGTTGACGTTCAGCATCATCAGAAGAGATTTCAAGACACAATTCTATGAATATTCAAAAGTACCAATCTAATAGTAACAACCATTTTTGTACGTAAAGACAAATTCATCAACTGTTGAGAAAATTATTAGTTTATGTGCATCAACTGAATAAATGACTATGGTAGAAATAAGCATACCTCTTTTTCTGTCCAAAATGTTTCACATTTTCAAGTTATATTAGTGTTCGCTATTAATCAAACTGCGCTTTAGTCGTGAAAATAACTCAAAAACTGATTAATACATTCTCAAAAAACGTAGAATAAATTAATTCTGTCGATAGACTTCAGCAATTTGATGGTAGAAGCAAGAATATAATTTAAATATAGATGAATTATTATTGTACACAGACCACTTGCTCATTAGTCAACGTTTTATTCTGCAAATCATTTTCAAAAGTACATGTACAAATGATGTCTGTACCAAACTCATATTTATGATACTTATCGTGAAATCCAATTGATATACATAATGAATTATGTGATTATTGTATATTTTATTGAACAGATCACCTATAACAGTGATTTTACGGGTGATTTGCTACTCAAACCTTCCTCGGGTAAGTCGATGAATACCAATTCTACACTTGAGTTCACCTTGACCAAGACGTCCTCAATTCGTCCTTAAGGAAGCCTTTCCCGAGTTTGAGTGGAGGTTGAGTTCGAGTGACGACACTGAATATAGCTAAAGTGTAGAGTAGCGCAATGCACATGTTAACAAGATATGTTTGTAAAACATGTATGACCCCTTAAACACAGCCAATTTAAAATAATAACATTAGATTTTTAAATGTGTATAAAAAATGCATAGTATATTTGTTATGGAATACATGTATATCATTGCCATGGGGCAGAACCAATATGTCCCATGGGTCCATGAATTGAGTAAACCCTGTAGTTGTCAATGAGACAATGTTATACACAAAATATCTTCTAAAAACAAGCTTTTCATGGTGAGGTCATTGTGACCTTTACCTTTGACCTACTGACCCCAAAATCAATAGGGGTCATCTACTAGTCATGGCCAACCTCCACACCAAATATGAGGACCATCAGCCAAAGCATTGTCTAGTTATTGAGCGGAAATGGCATGGTCTACGGACCGACGGACCGACCGACATGGGAAAAGCAATATACCCCCACTTCTTCGAAGGGGGCATAATAACTTATTTTATTTGACTTTTTTATCATTGGTACCGGTTGCCCATATGACCAACGTCCCCTGAAGATTGTTAGTATATTATTTTTCGGGGGATAGTGCATGATACAGAAGACGCCCCGTTCCAGAGGCGACCCTGGTTCTTTTAAGTGCCCAGTGTAAAGCACCAGTGCAATGCACCTCGGTTTAACTTATTTTTTCCCCTTTTAATAGTAAGGGAGATAGACTGTATCCAACAATCAACTTATTTTCAAATACATTTTTTAAACTTTTTTAACAATCTCACAAGCATCCCGCTAGAGTCCCGGTGGTCGTTCGGGTGATCCAGGAACGACCGGGGTACGTCCGTAACTCTGTCGGCAACGTCCGGGATGATCAAGGGCTCTGTCGGGGCTCTACCGGTGATTGTCGGCACTCTATCTGACCGTACCGGGGCTCTGCCGGGATCATCCGGGACTCTGCCGACATCATCCGGAGCTGTGCTAGCATGGATCTCAGCTTTTATGATCTCTTTGATCGAAGACTTAACAGCGTTTCGAATATCGTGTTAGGTCATCCGTCGTCCACTTACTATCTGCATTATCCGTAGTTTCAACTGGACTCTGCATGGATGGCCCGGAGTTCATCCTGGTTGTTATAAGTATGGACATTGGGTATCGCCGTAGTTTTACCGGGGTTATTGAGACTGCAACAATATTTTCATCTCGGATCGTCTGGGGTGGTCCTGGGCTTTGCCGGGATGCTGGTGAGAACGCTACTTAAATCGGTACTTTTAATCTCTATGTAAACCTTTATAACTGGCTGATGCATTACTGTTGATCATAGAAATAAGTGCAATTAACATATGAAAAGTTGAGACATTTATCGTTAACCGATTTGGACATTTATGAGCACCTAATTTGTTGCGACATTTTTCGTTAATTTTTGGACATTTATCGTTAAAGGAGTTTTGGACATTTATCGGCGATTGAGACATTTATCGTCAATTTTTGGACATTTATCGTCGTTTGGACATTTTTCGACGTTTGGACATATATCGGCGCTACAACTTATATTGTTATTATATAAAGCAAGGATAGGACTTATCAAAAAATCTCACATCTCGTCATATTTCTACATCACATACAGTAAATAACTTTAAAGATAATGCAACAATTTAAGTTTATCAGTCCTTCAGCAATTTTTCTAAATCAAATTATTAAATCATTTTCGCCACATAGTTTTTGCATTCTATCCATCAAAATAAATATATTCAATATAAAATTTTAGACTTCAAAATATGTTCATCTCAAAGTTTTGTATTCTTTCATTGAAATTTGACATATTCAGTATTGAATATGAAATTTAATACTTCGATAAATGTCTGCAAAATATTTAACCAACAAATGAGCATTGTATATCTTTAACCTTCTCATAATTGCTCAACTTACTTCATTTCTGTGGAAGATGTCTCTAAAGTTTGAGTTCTCTCTGCTGATTGCCAAACAATTAATTGTTGGGCAAGTGAATCAGTGACATCATTTAGATCATGGTCCGTGGTATTTTCTGTCTTAAATACAACGCTGTTTTTAATAGACATAGGTTTTTGTGTCTCTTAAATAAAAAGTAGGACACATTGTGAACTCCTATTTTCGACTTATCCGCTTACCATTCTGGCATGGATAAGGGTTGAAGAAAATATTTTTACAAAGGATACAATCACAAAGAAATAATAATGTTAATGATTTTGGATATGATGTTAGCCTAAGGTTAGTATATTTTGGCTTTTGCTTAATTTTAAACCTTGTTGCGGACAACCGGTGCATCTACATATAAATTCTTTCAGTGCTCATGCTTAACAACGATGGAGAAAACTTGAAAGTTCGATGATGAAAGTCGAAACCACGATGCTGAAAGTCGAATATACGATAATGAAAAGTTGAAAGTGCGTCGAAATAGCAAAACTACGACGGTGAAAAGCCGAAGGTACGGTGATAAAAAGTCGAAAGTAATATGGTTAAATTTCGAAATAACGAAACCACTATTAAAATCATATCGAGTTTTGTTTTTGGTTGAGGGATCTACAATTGAAATGTCGATGTCATTCATTATTTAAACAGATCACCAAAATATGAAAGAGTCACCGTTTAGTAGTGGTTGGATGCGCTTAAAAGGAAAGATCCGTCACAAACATAAAATATACGTATCAAAGTAATACGAAAGAAGAAATAAAAAAAAAAACCGAACGCACTGGCCATTCGTTAAACATAGAGTATAACAGTGTAATTAACAGATGAACAAGGGCAAATCTGCATGGGTTGAGACTACTTTTACATTTTAATCAGATTATTAAGAGATAGTGGAGATTTGTTTATTTGCACAAAGATATAACTCAGTATACATGTATCTCATAACAACATATCTATAGGGACATTAACATTCGTTTGAAACATGTAAACGGTTCAAATTTCGATTGGATTACAATAAAAGTTTCACAAATGACAAAATGGCGATGAAGGGCAAGTGTGTAGCAGACGGTATCTAAATAAAGGAAAAAGAAAGTTTGAGGTATTTATATCTTGTATTTATAAACGTTTCGTCAGAAAATTTTCAATAATGACAATGTATTTATATATACTAGTAGTCTAATATGAAACTTACACAGAACAATAATGCATATTAAAAATATTGAAAAAATTATGAAAAAACAGCCCGCGGCCGAGTCAACATGTTGATACTTGTAAATTAGAACAGAGTCCCTATAATTTATTTTTATATATCCTTATGTCTATTAAAACACAACTCTTTATTTGTATCTCACAGCTTATGCGTAATGTATTCTTAAAAAGAAAATAATGAAAGTATGCTTATCTAGATCATATATATGTATTATTTATCTGATTTTACAATAAACAAAAACAAAGGAGAATACTAGTAACATACAACCGTATGTGAGAAGTTAGCAGTGAACAGTGAGCTAAGCAAAAAGGCATTTCAATTTATATAGGGAAGGTAATGATCTGCTGTAATGCTCAGCTGTTTTTGGCATCTAGCAGGGCGTTCCTAAATATAGTGTAAAAATGCTCTGCTGCAATACTCAGCTGGCTAGCTAAGCTGGCTAGGCAATCTAGCAGAGCATTCCTAGCTTTAGTGAAAAAATGCTCTGCTGGAACGCTCAGCTGGCTAGGCAATCTAGCAGTGCATTACTAAATATGGTGTTAAAATGCTTTGATGGAATGCTCAGCTGGCTAGCTAAGCTGGCTAGGCAATCTAGCAGTGCATTACTAAATAAAGTGTAAAAATGCTCTGCTGGAATGCTAAGCTGGCTAGGCAATCTAGCAGAGCATTACTAAATATAGTTAAAAAATGCTCTGCTGGAATGCTAAGCTGGGTAGGCAATCTAGCAGGACATTACTAAATACAGTGTAAAAATGCTCTGCTGGAATGCTAAGCTGGGTAGGCAATCTAGCAGGACATTACTAAATACAGTGTAAAAATGCTCTGCTGGCATACTAAGCTGGCTAGGCAATCTAGCAGAGCATTACTAAATATATTAAACAAATGCTTTTCTGGAATGCTAAGCTGGCTAGGCAATCTAGCAGGACATTACTAAATATAGTGTACAAATGCTATTCTGGAATGCTAAGCTGGCTAGGCAATCTAGCAGGGCATTACTAAATATAGTGTAAAAATGCTCTGCTGCAATACTCAGCTGGCTAGCTAAGCTGGCTAGGCAATCTAGCAGAGCATTCCTAGCTTTAGTGAAAAAATGCTCTGCTGGAACGCTCAGCTGGCTAGGCAATCTAGCAGTGCATTACTAAATATAGTGTTAAAATGCTCTGATGGAATGCTCAGCTGGCTAGCTAAGCTAGCTAGGCAATCTAGCAGGGCATTACTAAATAAAGTGTAAAAATGCTCTGCTGGAATGCTAAGCTGGCTAGGCAGTCTAGCAGAGCATTACTAAATATAGTGTAAAAATGCTCTGCTTGAATGCTAAGCTGGGTAGGCAATCTAGCAGGACATTACTAAATACAGTGTAAAAATGCTCTGCTGGAATGCTAAGCTGGGAAGGCAATCTAGCAGGACATTACTAAATACAGTGTAAAAATGCTCTGCTGGAATGCTAAGCTTGGTAGCAATCTAGCAGAACATTACTAAATATAGTGTAAAAATGCTCTGCTGGAATGCTAAGCTGGCTAGGCAATCTAGCAGAGCATTCCTAGCTTTAGTGAAAAAATGCTCTGCTGGAACGCTCAGCTGGCTAGGCAATCTAGCAGTGCATTACTAAATATAGTGTTAAAATGCTCTGATGGAATCCTCAGCTGGCTAGCTAAGCTAGCTAGGCAATCTAGCAGGGCATTACTAAATAAAGTGTAAAAATGCTCTGCTGGAATGCTAAGCTGGCTAGGCAGTCTAGCAGAGCATTACTAAATATAGTGTAAAAATGCTCTGCTTGAATGCTAAGCTGGGTAGGCAATCTAGCAGGACATTACTAAATACAGTGTAAAAATGCTCTGCTGGAATGCTAAGCTGGGAAGGCAATCTAGCAGGACATTACTAAATACAGTGTAAAAATGCTCTGCTGGAATGCTAAGCTGGGTAGCAATCTAGCAGAACATTACTAAATATAGTGTAAAAATGCTCTGCTGGAATGCTAAGCTGGCTAGGCAATCTAGCAGGGCATTACTAAATATAGTGTAAAAATGCTCTGCTGGCATACTAAGCTGTCTAGGCAATCTAGCAGGGCATTCCTTAATATAGTGTAAAAATGCTCTGGTGGAATGCTAAGCTGCTAGGCAATCTAGCAGAGCATTACGAAATATAATGTAAAAATGCTCTGCTGGAATGCCAAGCTGGCTATACAATCTAGCTGGGCATTACTAAATAAAGTGTTAAAATGCTCTGTAGGAATGCTCAGCTGGCTAGGCACTATAGCAGAGCATTCCTTAATATAGTGAAAAAATGCTCTGGTGGAATGTTCAGCTGGCTATGTAATCTAGCAGGGCATTACTAAATACAGTGTAAAAATGCTCTGGTGGAATGCTAAGCTGGCTAGGCAATCTAGCAGGGCATTCCGAAATATATTTAAAAAATGCTCTGTTGGAAGGCTCAGTTGGCAGACTGATCCTGAGTTCCAGGATTTATTGTTGCCAAAGTTTTATTGACATTTTCGACTTCTAGGCAATTCTGAGGCACTCGCAGACTTTCAGGAATTTTCGGTGCAAATAGAAATAATGATATTTTTTACTTCTAAGGACCTTTAAGAGACTATTTCATTGTCCTGCGACTTTTTGAAGGACACTCGCAGACTTTCAGGAATTTTGGTGCCAATGCTGATATTGACAATTAAGACTTCTAGGGACCTTCAAGAGTCCATTTTTGGTCGTCTGCGATTGATTCTTGGACACTCGCAGACTTTCAGGAATGGTTGGTGCCAATGGAAATATTCATATTTTTGACTTCTATGGACCTTTAAGAGTCCATTTCATTGGCCTGCAGCGTATTGTTGGACACTCGCAGACTTTCAGGAAATTTTGGTGCCAATAGAGATGATGGCAATTTTTACTTCTGGGGACCCGCCAGAGTCCATTTTTATGGTCTGCGACTGAATCTGCGACATTCGCAGACTTTCAGGAATCTCTGGTGCCAATGGAGAAAATGACATTTTTGACTTCTAGCGACCCCCCAGAGTTCATTTCGCTGGTCTGCGACTGATTTTGGGACACTTGCAGACTTTCAGGAATTTGGATGCCAATGGAGATAATGACATTTCTGACTTTTAGGGAACCGCCAGAGTACATTTCTTGGGTCTGCGATTGATTCCTTGAGACTCGCAGCCTTTCAGGAAGTTAAGTACCATTGCAGATCATGACTTTTTTACTTTTAAGGACCCCTTAGTCATAAGCAGAGCATTTTTACCCTAAAATGTCATTATCTGCATTAGCACCAAAAATTCCTGAAAGTCTGCAAGTGCCCTATAATCAGTCGCAGACCAACGAAAAAGACTCTGGATGATCAAAAATGTCATAAAATGTAATTATCTCTATTGGCACCAACAATTCCTGAAAGTCTGTGACTGTCCAAGATTAAGTCGCAGACCAAAAAAATGGACCCTGGATGGTCCCTAGAAGTAAAAATGTCATTATCTGCCTTGACATCAAAAATTCCTGAAAGTCTGTGAGTGCCTCAGAATCAGTCGCAGACCAAAAAAATGGATTCAGAAAGGTCCCAATAAGTCAGAAATATCATTTTCTGCATTGACACCAAAATTCCTGAAAGTCTGCGAGTGCCTCAGAATCAGTCGCAAACCAAAGAAATAGACCCAGGAGGGTCCTTTTGAAATAAAAATGTCATAATCTCCATTGGCACCGAAAACTTCTGAAAGTCTGCGAGTGTTTTAGAAACAGTCGCCAACCAACGAAATAAACTCCGGATGGTCCTTAGAATTCACGAATGTCATTATCTGCATTAACACTTGAATTCCTGAAATTCCTGATAGTCTGCGATTGTCCCAGAATCAGTCGCGGACCAAAGAAATAGACACTTGAGGGTCCCGTAGAAGTCAAAAATGTCATTATCTGCATTGGCACTAAATATTTCAGAAAGTCTACGAGTGCCAAATAATCAGTTGCAGACCAACGAAATTTATACTTTATTTAAGAATGCCCTGCTAGTTTGCCTAGACAGCTCAGCATTCCGGCAGAACATTTTTACACTAATTTTCAGAATGCTTTGCTGGATTGCCTAGCCAGCTGAGCATTTTTAACACTATATTTAGGAATGCCCTGCTACATTGCTTAGCTAGCTGATCATACCAGCAGAGCATTTTTCGCACTATATTTTGGAACGCTCTGCTAGATTGCTTAGCCAGCTGAGCATGCCAGCAGAGCATTTTTACACTATATTTAGGAATGCTCTGCTGGATTGCCTAGCCAGCTGAGCATTTTTACACTATATTTAGGAATGCCATTCTAGATTGCCTAGCCAGCTGAGCAATTCAGCAGAGCATTTTTACACTATATTTTGGAATGTCCCGCTAGATTGCTTAGCCAGCTGAGCATAACAGCTAAGCAATTTTACACTATATTTAGGAATGCCTTGCTAGATTGCCTAGCCAGCTGAGCATACGAGCAGAACATGTTTACACTATATTTTGGAATGATGTCCCGCTAGATTGCTTACCAAGCTGAGCATAACAGCAGAGCATTTTTACACTATATCTTGAAATGTCCCGATAGATTGCTTAGCCTGCTGAGCATAACAGCAGAGCATTTTTACACTTTATTTTTGGAATGCCCCGCTAGCTTGCTTAGCAAGCTGAGCATAACAACAGAGCATTTTTACACTATATTTTGGAATGCCCCGCTAGATTGCTTAGCCAGCTGAGCATAACAGCAGAGCTTTTTACACTATATTTTGGAATGCCCCGCTAGATTGCTTAGCCAGCGGAGTATAACAGCAGAGTTTTTTTACACTATATTTAGGAATGCCCTGCTAGATTGCCTAGCCAGCTGAGCATACCAGCAGAGCATTTTTACGCTATATTTTAGAACGCCCCGCTAGATTGCCTAGCCAGCTGAGCATACCAGCAGGGCATTTTTACGCTATATTTTGGAATGCCCCGCTAGATTGCTTAGTCAGCTGAGTATAACAGCAAAGCATTTCTACACTTTATTTTGGAATGCTCTGCTAGATTGCTTACCCAGCTGAGCATAACAGCAAAGCATTTCTACACTTTATTTTGGAATGCTCTGCTAGATTGCTTACCCAGCTGAGCATAACAGCAAAGCATTTCTACACTTTATTTTGGAATGCTCTGCTAGATTGCTTACCCAGCTGAGCATAACAGCAGGTCATTGATTTCCCTATATAAATCGTAATGCCTTTTTGCTTAGCTCACTGTTAACTGCTAACTTCTCACATACCATACAACCTTACAAATATTTTTTTTTTCAGAATTAAAAACGGTAAAATTATTATCAAAAATATGTCTGACAATCAATCAATTTAAAATTGCAAACAAAAGTAGAATTATAAACATATACGATTTAATGTCAAAGAAATTTTCATGATTTTGTACTTTCGGTTTCTACAACAATGATAATAAGTATAAAAATGTTTATGGTTCGAATCCCGACAGGGACTTTGGATTCTTTCATGTGAGGAAGCTATCCAGCTAGCTTACGGAACGTCGGTGGTTCTACTCAGGTGCCCGCTCGAGCCTGAAATAATGCACGGAGGGGCATCTGAGGTCTTCTACCACCAGTAAAGCTGGAACGTCGCGATATGACCTATAATGTGTCGATGTGACGTAAAACCCAAAACAAACAAAATATATCTCAAAGCTGCTGTTACTTATTCTATTGGTATAAACTTTGTCATGCATAAAAAGAAGATATTCAAGTTCTTTTCTTTAAATGCAGTATTTTTTTTTATCGTGTACTAAGAAAATAAATATTTCATGAGTCGCGGTAGCCAGAGGTAAAATATGTTAGCTTTTTAATCACAAGATGGAAATAAATTCTTTATGTTAATAAAAGACTTTTGTTTATAATATACTTTTTCTCTTTTTTTACCTTAAAATTCTTAAAACTTCTCCTTTAATGTTTGTGTATTGGCAGAATTAAAAAGAAAGTAGTCCGACAAGTTACCAGTGAAAATACAGAAAATATTTTTCAATGCAGTGAAAAATACGGAAATTGAAAAATTAAAATACGTATTTTATTTCAATAATGTTTCGTAATACTTCATTTGTAAGTATATCATAAAATAGTATCTTCTTTCATTATAATTTGTGTACCCTTTTGTTTGCTTTTAATAAAAAATATCACTCTTAATAAGGATAAATTGTTGATACAATGTATTGTCACGTTTCTTTTTAATCTTTTTTTAGGTTAATAATGCATTTCATAGGCCAGGTATAATTCTTTCGGAAAAGAAAAAAAAATTCTATCAATGACAATTTTCATGCATTACAGTAACGATGACTGACCATTAAATGTAGTTCATTATTGTAAAACATATTCGCGTTTATTGGCATTTTTTAGAATACGAATCAATTGTAAATCCATGCATGTGTTATTAATTGATTGGATTAAAACTGGTATGGGATTGACATACTACTTGACAACTCAGGGCAATTAATAAAGAAACTTTTAATATATAAATAAGAAATAAGATCGTTGTATTTTGTATAATTTGTTTATTTGTTTTTAAAAGTTGGTGCTAACATCCATTATGCGGCTTACATCCATATTATTTTGAACTGTCATTAATAAATAAATTTCAGAACGAACCAACAATGGAAGTTCCTGGTAAACAAAAACCAAAAAAGACATTTTCTGTTTCACGGGGCTCTGACAATATAGTCAAGTAGATGTTTTCCAGACTGTATCATTTGTCAAAAACAGTGATATTGTCGATATGTTAGATAGACATAAGCAACTTGGAGAACTTATTACAAAGAAAACATCCATGGTTGAAAATGTTCCAGTGATGAAACCTACATCAACACCGTCTGAGGATAAGACACTAAGTCTTGAGGCTGTTGAAGATATATATTTGAATTCTTCATTGGGAAACACTGAATGTCACATAACCGGAATAGAAGTTATCAATCCCGACAAGATAGTTCTTTGTGATTACAGCGACAATAAAATTGTTAAATGCTATGATACAGTACAGAAGAAAGTTGTATCAGAGATAAAACTAGATAATTCACCGTTTGATGTTGCAGCTATAACGGATGATAAGTTTGCCGTTACTGTACCTAGTGAGAGAAGTATTCATTTCATGTCGCTAAGAAATCAACGCATAGTGTTAATTGATTTAATCATCAGACAAGGATTTACCTTATAGGCTATCTACTGTCCATAGGCAATGTTCCTTCCAAATAAAATAAATCAGGACTTATTCCTTCTCATGTTATCGTATAAACAAGGTTAACAGTACGTACAGACTGACCAATTCGATCACAAAATTGTCCAAACAAAGAGCTATAGTCAAAATTAATGTCTAATGGGACTTGGAAGGTGACTTTCTAATATGATAATAAAGACAAGTTGCATGTAAAAGTAAGTTATTAAGTTTGAAAAATTCATAATATATAGTGTATTCTGATTGGTTTATTATCTCGTGGCCACGACTTATCTATCTCGTTCCCACGACTTATTAACTCGTGGCCACGACATAGTATCTCGTGGCCACGACTTAGCTATCTCGTGGCCACGACATGGTTACTCGTGGCCACGACATAGTAACTCGTGGCCACGAGATAGCATCTCGTGGCCACGACATAGTATCTCGTGGCCACGACATAGTATCTTATGGCCACGACTTAGCTATCTCGTGACCAAGACTTAGTAACTCGTGGCCACGACATAGTATCTCGTGGCCACGACGTAGCTATCTCGTGGCCACGACTTAGTAACTCGTGGCCACGACATATATCTCGTGGCGTCGAGATAAATAAAAACACACACATGTCACCTTTGTGCCACCGTACTTTTCTGTTCAAAAGTCGTGTTAAAAGTTTGTTTAATTTTGGAATTTGAATATTTCTCAAATAAATTATGACAAACATGGTCTTTTAGGTTGAGATTTACATTTTCTTCGTTAGCATTACATGATAATGTAATAGTGTAAAAATAACTTCACTCTACTTTATGAATGTAAATGTCTTACGAGGTTTACAAATAAATACATACGTATGTAAAAAAAATATCGCTCATTATACTTATTCTAATAATATAAACTTTCTAATGTATAAATAGAGGATACTCAAGATGTTTTCTATAAATACAACATCAATTTTCATCGTGGTATGAAAATATATTTTACGAGTGGCGGTAACCCCATGTGAAATATGGTATAGTAATTTTCATATCACAAGATGAAAATAAATCCTCTTAATTATGCACTTTTAAAAGAAATATTGAGAAAAAATGATAAAATAAAATGCATATTTGCCTTTTCCGTATTTTCACTGAAAAAATTTATTTTTCACTGCACTGAACCATATTTTCCGTATTTTCACTGGGGTCTTGTCGAACTACTATGTTTCTAAACAAAATTCAAGGGAAAGTCTTTCAAGAAGAGAAAAATGTATGTAATAAGCAGAAAATTTAAGTTTTTTTCTTAAATACAGGATTTATTTTCATCTTGTGGTATGAAAATTATCATACATCATTCGCGGCTACCACCACTCTTGGAATATTTATTTTCATAACACTCATTTAAAAATTAATCCTGTATTTATTGGAAAAAAACACTTGAATAACTTCTTTATGTATAGGAAAGAACTTTAATTTTCTGTTTATTATATGTTTGTTCTCTTTTTTGACCTTACAATTCGTAAGACTTCTCCTTTAATTTTGTGTATTAATCGAATTAAGAAGAAAGTACTCGCAATTTTTCAGTGAAAATATGGAAAAATATGTTTCACTCAGTGAAAATACGACAATCAAAAGAAATGAAAATACGCATTTTATTTCATATATATTTCTCAATACTTCATTTATAAGTATGTAATAAAATAGTGTGAAGAATGTGTTTTTTGTTTCGCGTTGATCATTTTTGCTAAGGAATATTACAATGAAATACAAATTTAATAAACGTTTTGATTATGATTACGGACACAATGTATTGTCACTTTTTTCCCTTTTTTCGGCTAACTACCTTATTACGCATTTCATAGGCCCAGTATAATTCTTTGGAAAAAAACAACACCCCCTAAATTGTATCAATAACACTTTTCATGCATTACTATGGCTGACTATTTGTTTACCATTAAAATGTAGTTCATTTTTTTTTTAATCTTCGCGTTTATTGTTATTTCTAATGTTTGAAATTAAGAAATACGAATCAATTGTAAATCCATGTATGTGTTATTAGGTTTATATGTATTGATTTGATTAAAAATAGTATGGTATTGACATACTACTTGACAACTCAGGGCAATGAGTAAAGAACCTATTAATCTTAAAATAAGAAATAAGATCATTGTATTTTGTATGATTTGTTTATTTGTTGTTCAAAGTTGATGCTTGCATCCATTATGGTGCTTACATCCATATTATTTTGAACTGTCATTAATAGATAAATTTCAGAACGGACCAACAATGGAAGTTCCTGGTAAACAAAAACCAAAAAAGACATTTTCTGTTTCACGGGGCTCTGCTGAGGACTTTTTATTGTTCTGTATCCCTTGTGATAGAGATGGTGCCCGGGTACCAGCAAAAGGTTATTGTTCAACCTGCAAAGAACATCTTTGTGACACTTGTTACAAGCACCACAAGAAACAAACTCCATCACGTCATCATATTCTTCTAGATCAAGACTCTATGCCAACTACACCAAGTGTTCCAATCGTAAAAGACGAATTTGATAGTTGTGATGATCATGAAGACGAAAAACTGAAATTTTACTGCAAAGTTCATGACATCGTTGTTTGCAGTGTTTGTGTAACGCTGAATCACAGGTTATGTAATGTGGAATACATACCGAAACTCTCGAAGCATATTCTAGACAGTGGAGAACTTAATGAAATAATGGCAGAAATAAAAGCACTGGAGGATAGTTATAAATCACATATAAAGAGAGTAAAAGATGAGATGAACGCTATTTCTCAAAACCACGATGGCGTAATAAAGGCGATTCATCATTTCAGAAAAGAAATAAATACACGTCTAGAAGAAATGGAAAAATATGTTGTCAAAGAAGCTGACAACATACTTCTTAAACAACAAACGAAACTTAATGATTTATCAACAGGTGTACATGAAATCACAGATAAACTGACTGTAAAACGTAACCAGCTTGATAACCTGATTGAGAGAAAATGCCTTGATAAGCTGTTTGTTGAAATGAAAGAAACAAAGAAACGAGTTGAAGAAATGAGGATGAAGCAAAAACAATATAGTCGAGTAGATGTTTTCCAAACTGTATCATTTGTCAAAAACAGTGATATTGTCGATATGTTAGAAAGACACAATCAACTTGGAAAACTTGTTACAAAGAAAGCATCCATGGGTGAAAATGTTCCAGTGATGAAACCTACATCAACACCGTCTGAGGATAAGACACTAAATCTTGAGGTTTTTGAAGATATAGATTTGAATTCTTCATCGGGAGAATCAAAATGTAACATAACCGGGATAGAAGTTATTAAGCCCGACAAGATAGTTATTTGTGATAGGAGCAACAATACAAATGTAAAATTTTATGATACAGTTCAGAAAAAAATCGTTTCAGAGATAAAACTAGATAATTCACCGTTTGATGTTGCAGCTATAACGGATGATAAGTTTGTCGTTACTGTACCTAACGAAGGAAGTATTCATTTCATGTCGCTAAGAAATCAACACATAGTTTCTGAACGTAAGGTAAATATCAACGAGAGATGTTATGGTATTGCTTACAGCCAAGATAAGCTTGTTGTGTCATGTAATTATGATCCAGGAAAAGTTTTAGTTCTTGACCTACAAGGTAAAATATTGCAAAGTTTTTGTGGAGATAATAGTCTGTTCTGTTTACCCCAGTATGTCACCGTGAATACAGCGGGAACGTCTATATATGTTAGTGACTGTGGTTCTACTGTGAATGCTGTAAAACAACTAGACTGGCAGGGGAACGTTTTAAATACCTATCAACCAGCACAGGGAGCTCCTACACGAGGTATTTGTATATTAGATCATGGTACATTTCTTGTTTGTTTGGATCAAGATAGTGACGATAATTTGCAGAGAGTATCAGACAGCTGTAAGCAGTGTAAGATAACGATCATTGGGAAACTTGGTAAATGGTACCCGGAAGCAGTGGCATACTGTAAGAAATCGAGAAGACTTTATGTGTCTTATTCTGAAACAGGGCGTCTTAGATCAAAACATCGAATAAAAATCTTTAAGGTTGACTGGTGTTAAGTTACATCATGATGAAAAGTATACATTTAGTTTGAACTTTTACACGTTTCACTGTAACAGTTGAAAGTTTGATAGAGTTATTGTTCAAAATGATATTTATATGATATTTATGTGATTATGTCTATTGAAATCAAAATGGTGGGCTCGAAAATATTCTGTCAATATTTTTAGTTAATTATGTATAACTAAGAATAATAGGTAAATGTTTTTTACTGAAATGTAGGTTTTAAGATAAATATTTTAACCGGACTAAGACTGTGATCTCACATTGTTATCAATTTTTCAAAAGTAAATACTATTTTATAGTTTAAATAGTCCTAGATAAATTTTATTCGACAGTATAAAAACAAATTTATAATAAAACAGTCTTAGTAAATTTTATTTGGCAGGATATGGTTTTAAAAATGTCATTAATTGACTTATATAAGTTTTAATGTTCATATTTATTACATATTGGACAAATATATGTTGCTTCTGTATAAAACATCCATTGTTTAAGCCAATATATTATGTTAAAGAAAACAAATCGTTGATATACTGAAGTTAGTAATATTTTGATATTGTAAAGTATCAAGTGTAAAAAATGACATACTTTTCAAGGTTAAATGATTTATAATGGTCAATTTTTCTTCTTACCATTTGCATTTAAACATTTTAGTATCGTTTTATTCATTGTACCACAATGTAACTTTCTGTAGGAAAAACATGCAATAGTTTGAATATATTGAGGTCATATTTTTTTAAAATACAACTGATAATTGTGTAGCTAGGGGGGAAAACTCCTCAGTGCATAGAACAGTAACTGCTGTGATATGGTCTGTGGAGTTGTCTCCCTTAAAGGTAAAAATAAATAACCTTCTGTAGGAAAAACATGCAATAAGGTCATATTTTTTAAAAAACAACTGATAATTGTGTAGCTAGGGGGGGGGGGGGAACTCCTCAGTGCATAAAAAGTAACTGCTGTGATATGGTCTGTGGAGTTGTCTCCCTTAGAAGTAAAAGTAATTCTTAATTCTTTTAGAATGGCTTTTCATGTATTTTATGTGTGTGTTTTACGTTTTATATGTAATTTTATGTATACATGTAAAGATGAGACTGAAATAAAGAAATTATATATTTTTTTAGGAATGATTTCAGTACATACTAAGTCTTTAATAAATTGTTAAAGACGGTCTGTTAATTATGTTTGCCAATCGAATAGAATTTTTATTTATGGCACGTCCATTTAGTGATTGATTTAAATTCCGGAAGAGTTATGTTGAATATAATAAATAATTTCCCACTTCATTTTCTTTCCTTCGTTTTTACTTTACTGTGCTAGTATATATACCCTTATGCACTTTAAAACGCTAATTTAAATGTGCCGTAGCTTTCGGCCTTTTGGCCTTCTTCAGCAGCATTTATTATACATATGTATTAGTAATAAAGATTTTTGACAGGTTATATGGTCCTATATAAACGGTTGTTTGTAAATATAACCCGAGTCGCTAGGCGAGGGTTATATCGAAAACAACCGTTTATATACGGCCATATAACCTGTCAGAAATGTTTATAACGAATTTATATTACAGCAAGCATCATTTTTAGAGGAATATAGCGATATTTTTTTATAAATCGACAGCAGCCGTGTATATAAAACTTTATAATACTGCACGTTTGTAACGTCATTTTTCATTATTAGTTATAAAGCCTAGCGGCTCGGGTTATATTTACAAATAGCCGTTTATATAGGGCCATATAACCTGTCAACAATCTTTATAACGAATTTATAATACAGCAAGCATTACTTTTTAGAGAAAAAAAATAAGATTTCTTCATGAATCGACAATTGCCATGTATATAAAACTTTTTAATACTGCACGTTTGTAACGTCGCTTTTCATTGGATAATCGTGACGTTTATATAGTTTTATATACACGGCTGCTGTCGTTGTTTTGAAGAAATCTCGCTTTATTCCTCTAAAAATGATGCTTGCTGTATTATAAATTCGTTATAAATATTTCTGACAGGTTATATGGCCGTATATAAACGGTTGTTTGCAATATAAACCTCGCCTAGCGGCTCGGTTTATATTTACAAACAACCGTTTATATAGGACCATATAACGTGTCAAAAATCTTTATAACTAATAATATAAACGTCACGAAGATCCAATTAAAAGCGACGTTACAAACGTGTAGTAATATAATACATACAAAATTAATTTAATATAATCAGAGTGACGTAACGTCATTGTGCGACGTGAACGATTTATGACTCACGTGGCCTAAAATTAAATAAATGCGAATAGTATGTTGTAGTTGCTTTCTGATGCTTTGTATTTGTTGGAAAATTGATATCTAAAAAAATAAATCTTGTGAAAATATATAGACAAGTCAGCTGAACTTGCAAAAAATGAGCAGACTATCACTTCAAGAAATAAAGGATATTGAATGAGTGTAAGTTCAATACTGAATTTATTGAACGAGTTGAATAAATTTATATTGTGCGAGCCTATGGCGAGCATGATATTATTTTATTCATTGAGTTCAATAAATCCAGTAATGAACTTACACGAATTTTTTAATAATCTATTTGTCACATACCAAAAATAAAGAATGCAAAAAGTGAAAAAGCGTCATTTTTCATTGACGCGCATATAGTATAACGCTAACATTTAGCGCGTCGTTACGCTATGTTTGTGTCGCGTTAAAATAAATGCACGGTCGTGCACGGTCGTGCAATACCATATTTACGGAGTCGCAAATCGGCACGGGTGCGTGATAAAATCAAATTTGAGACAAATGTATTAGATATTATCTAAAAGTAAAATGATTCATGATTACATGTCGTGTGCGATTTTTTTGTAATATGCATGAATTGAAAGTGCGATTGCAATTCTTTGTTCATTTCGTAATATTTTAGTTTTAAATACATTAAGTCAAAACTAAAGGACAAAATATGGAACATGTGAAAAGAAAACCGGTCAATTTAGTCTGTTTATTTTCTTTTGATTTAATAAGTTCGTGAAGTTAACCGGACAGCCGGAACTTTTTTTTGCTTAGTCCGGTTGTTCTGGTTGTTCCGGCTAGCTTGAATTCGATTCCGGCTAAATAGGATAGCCAGAGATAATACTGTAAAACCTGTGCAAAAGACCATTTGTTTATCTTATAATGTATTTTTATATTATTGATACACTCCATCTCCGGCTACTTCGTTTGAACAAGTATAACTATATTATTTCTGGCTAGCCGTATCAGCCAGAACAGCCCAAACTATCGGACTAGGCAAAATTGTGAAGACTCACAAAGTATATTTTGATAATGTGATCAGATATTATATTATCTGAATTGAATACTAGTTGTATAAAGGCAAAAACTTTATCATTATAATATATAATTTTATAACAAAACAGAACAGAACACATTATTAACTTAAGTTACATGAAACAACACAATGGTATATAATGTAAAGTATATCAATATATATTAAGTGACATGCCAACTGGGCCTCTGAAGAAGTACTATCAATATTTATTTTATTTAGACATCATATTATTAAAAGTTTTATTTATATATATGTTGGTAATTATTTTGGTCAGTTTTGAAACGGATTATAGAGGCGTGTAAGTACAAACTTCACTTCCCAAAGATATGCAACTTCTTTTTGGAGATAACTTCTTTGAAGTGGTATGTGAACCACCACTTTCGAATAAAGTGTCAACTAATTAGCGATTGTTCTAAATTTAAAGTTATATATATACACGACACTTACGTGAATGCACGATATGGTTGGCCGTATTATCTCCCTTACATATTTATTTTATATATACATTTTCGATTCCTATACGAATACTATATATATCTTTTAATCCACCAATTCTGATGAGCATAACATATGTTACAAACAGGTTATAGTACATATAATCAAATACATATGGTAACATTTGTAAATTGAGTAACATGCATAAACATGGTACACTTCAAATATTATAGAACATATAAATTACAAGAGTTTCATGAATACGTCGATAGTATAAATGAATATATTAGCGAAAGTTAAATCGAAAGCATATATTCTACATTATACAACCGAATCAAAATTCATTACAGAACAGAACATAATCTTAAGTCTAGTTTCGAAACGAAAGTACTAGAACAAAGAAGATGTGTTTCAATTCGTCAACACACACCTGTACGATCAAAATTGCCAAATTGAAGGAGAATATCCATGTATATTGGCATTTATGTAACATAAACAGACGGTCTATTGGCTTTAGTACAGATGCTACATTAAACAAGTAAGCATAGTCTATAGGCAAGTGCATGGTTGATAAATCCGTTCATTGAGCACAACACGGATACTTGTATAAGTTTATCACATTGATCTGAGGGCGACATATCAATAAAAGATTGATAACCTTCATATCCCCACTTATCAATTAAACAATCCCACAATTTATATCTCTCAGAATCCTTATTTGGGCAAAAGCACACTAGGTGTTCAACAATGTTTTCACATACTCTTTTGCAGTTGGAACATTCCGTAGTGTATTTTCTAGACACTTGACGAGAAACAATTTTCATCAGTTGCCTACACATGAATATAAGTTTATGATTTTGCCTTGCAACATTCCAAAGTAGACAAGACTTTGAATTCTTGGAGAACATGGTATTCAAGAAACTATATTGCTCAGTTAGTCTATTTAATATTAGTGTTCGCTCCCGAGACAATACACATTTTCCAAGTAAATCCTTCCAAGCATAGTTTGATGGAAAAATGCCGTCAGCGGCATAACTGTCTAAAATATACTTCAACTCATATTTTTGCAATATGCGATAAATGTCCGGTAAAAATCCGTGTGACTGTTTGTCGCCATTTAAAAAGTGGAAAAGTCTTTTATTGAAAAATCCTTTTGCGAGGTATTTATTTGGCAGTCTACAAAGCTGACCTAAGAATTGTAGTTTTTTATGGTCAATTATTGTCTCAATAGAATTTGCACCAATCGACAATAGAGTGAGATCAGTTGAGGTACATGGATGAAATGATTGAATATTCTTAAGGCAAAATCTATGGGATTGTTCTAGGCGTTGAATGTCGGAACCGGTGAGAGTGGACCAAAGTTCGCACTCACCGGTTCCGACATGTAGAGGAATGTTTATAACGAATTTATATTACAGCAAGCATCATTTTTAGAGGAATATAGCGATATTTTTTTATAAATCGACAGCAGCCGTGTATATAAAACTTTATAATACTGCACGTTTGTAACGTCATTTTTCATTATTAGTTATAAAGCCTAGCGGCTCGGGTTATATTTACAAATAGCCGTTTATATAGGGCCATATAACCTGTCAACAATCTTTATAACGAATTTATAATACAACAAGCATTACTTTTTAGAGAAAAAAAAATAAGATTTCTTCATGAATCGACAATAGCCGTGTATATAAAACTTTATAATACTGCACGTTTGTAACGTCGCTTTTCATTGGATAATCGTGACGTTTATAAAGTTTTATATACACGGCTGCTGTCGTTGTTTTGAAGAAATCTCGCTTTATTCCTCTAAAAATGATGCTTGCTGTATTATAAATTCGTTATAAATATTTCTAACAGGTTATATGGCCGTATAGAAACGGTTGCTTGCAATATAAACCTCGCCTAGCGGCTCGGTTTATATTTACAAACAACCGTTTATATAGGACCATATAACCTGTCAACGATCTTTATAATTAATAATGTAAACGTCACGATTATCCAATGAAAAGCGACGTTACAAACGTGCAGTATTATAATATATACAAATATAATCAGAGTGACGTAACGTCATTGTGCGACGTGAACGATTTATGACTCACGTGGCCTAAAATTAAATAAATGCGAATAGTATGTTGTAGTTGCTTTCTGATGCTTTGTATTTGTTGGAAAATTGATATCTAAAAAAATAAATCTTGTGAAAATATATAGACAAGTCAGCTGAACTTGCAAAAAATGAGCAGACTATCACTTCAAGAAATAAAGGATATTGAATGAGTGTAAGTTCAATACTGAATTTATTGAACGAGTTGAATAAATTTATATTGTGCGAGCCTATGGCGAGCATGATATTATTTTATTCATTGAGTTCAATAAATCCAGTAATGAACTTACACGAATTTTTTTAATAATCTATTTGTCACATACCAAAAATAAAGAATGCAAAAAGTGAAAAAAGCGTCATTTTTCATTGACGCGCATATAGTATAACGCTAACATTTAGCGCGTCGTTACGCTATGTTTGTGTCGCGTTAAAATAAATGCACGGTCGTGCACGGTCGTGCAATACCATATTTACGGAGTCGCAAATCGGCACGGGTGCGTGATAAAATCAAATTTGAGACAAATGTATTAGATATTATCTAAAAGTAAAATGATTCATGATTACATGTCGTGTGCGATTTTTTTTGTAAGATGCATTAATTGAGAGTGCGATTGCAATTCTTTTGTTCATTTCGTAATATTTTAGTTTTAAATACATTAAGTCAAAAGCTAAAGGACAAAATATGGTACATGTGAAAAGAAAACCGGTCAATTTAGTCTGTTTATTTTCTTTTGATTTAATAAGTTCGCGAAGTTAACCGGACAGCCGGAACTTTTTTTTGCTTAGTTCGGTTGTTCTGGTTGTTCCAGCTAGCTTGAATTCGATTCCGCCTAAATAGGATAGCCAGAGATAATACTGTAAAACCTGTGCAAAAGACCATTGGTTTATCTTATAATGTATTTTTATATTATTGATACACTCCATCTCCGGCTACTTCGTTTTGAACAAGTATAACCATATTATTTCTGGCTAGCCGTATCACCCGGAACAGCCCAAACTATCGGACTTGGGCAAAAATGTGAAGACTTACGAAGTATAGTTTGATAATGTGATCAGATATATTATCTGACTTCAATGCTAGTTGTATAAAGGCAAAAACTTTATCATTAAAATATATAATTTTTATGACAAAACAGAACAGAACAGTACTTTATTCACTCTACTTACATGATGCAACACAATAGTATATAAATAGCACATGAGTTTGTGGGTAAAAGTAAAAATATCATCCCGAGGAAAATTACTGTTACCCGAGGCGTTACGAGGGATGATATATTTGACTGTTACTCACAAACCCATGTGTTATTTATTTTATTACCACGAACAAATACTGTGAGGATCTGAAATTGTCAACTAAATCTAACTGTAACAAAAATAAATCAAGAGTAATAATAACTAAACTGTCATTTTGTTTTAAGTTTTAAGTGTACTTTAGGCCTACTTGAGAAGTTTTCTTTTTCTTTTATTCTTTAAGCAAGTGATGATATCTACTAGTCATAAACATGCAACAAGCTGTGTTTTATTTAGAAAACAAAACACTAACCCATTTTTACGGTTATGATCTGTGAAATCTGATCCTTCTGTATCCAGAATATCCAACGCAAGGTTTTTGACAAAATAACGATGATATCCTATGTCTGTCCACCATATCTGTAACTTTTCACTGATTCAAATTGTTAAATAATCCTTTGTTGCATGCATAAATCTTCTGCATCAACCAGTTTGACACATAAATATTTACATTGCAATTACTTCCGTTGAAAAAATGTTTCAAAAAAAAGTTTGTATACGCGTAAAAACTCAGTGCCAAAACCCAAATTTTAGGGTGTATAGTTACTTTTGGTGTTCCTTGTGGTGAAGTCGAAAATTAAAAATGAATCAAGAAAAAAAGACGGCCCTTTTTAATTTTATTTTTGAAAAAAAGACCACGTGACCAATTTTATACTGTTAAAAAGTATTGTTCCCTTTAACTGTAAAAAAATTTCTTATTTTACGGGGTACATTTGCATTAACATTAAAAAAATAACCCCCAGGGCCCTAGGGGAAATTAACATTACAAAAATTCAATATCCTCTTTAAACTATAATGCACAGCAAATGACGTAAAAATATGAATTTTCATCAGGCCCAGGTGTGATTACTTAAACCCAAATTTTTGCTTAAAATGATGCCATAAGACATATTTTTCATATAAAATGTTATTTTTTTCTGTCTCTAACAATGTGCATATATTATACATGTATACATTCACATAAGAAAGGTTAGTGTGTATGTAACTAGGAAGCAGTTTGAATCATAAAAAAACAACTATTATGTATAAGTAGTACTTTTATTACAGTATTAGTTAGTCCTGTATTTTTCTTACATGTATGTAATTATTTTGTTTGTAAAGTTTTTATTTCCTTTTGTGCAATATATTATATTTTGTTATTATTACTGCCCAGCATGCACTGCATGAATATTTTTTTTTCATCGATAATTTGAATAAGTTCACTGTATGAATTAGTTTTAATTGCTTTCGATAATTAGAGTGCAGATTTTCAAGGCTTAAGACATTACTTACAAAAGTTTTTTTTTGTAATTCTCGAAAAATAATTTCAATAATCGTTACTCTTTAACCATTTCAAGATTGCCAAAGTCATTTAAATAATTAGCCTTGTATAGAGTTGAAATATCTGTAGACAATTTCCTGTAAAGTTGGTGACTATCTGATCATTAAACTGTCTAATCACAGGCAAATCATTCATTTTAGTGCCTGTAGCATTTTCTTTCTTAAGTGCTATATTTTGTTTATGTTTTTTCTGATGATGACAAACAAAGATATGGTCTAATTTGTATATATTTGTATATCAGTTTTCATTGAAATGCAGAAAATTATCAATGAAATAAAAAAGTTAACTTCCTATGGTAAATAAGAGGTTTAGATTCCATTTTATTTTGGTATCTATCTGGTTTTCACATCTATGTAAAAGGGCAATGCGGCTGAGTGGTTATAGTCATTGACTTCAAAACACTTGACCCTTAACACTGTGGTTTTGAGTCCCTGTAGTTAATTCTTTCATGTGAGGAACCTATCCAGCAAACTTGTGACATGTAACATCAATGGTTATAATTATTGTTATAATTGGGTGTCTGCATAATTTAGGTCGATATATGCAAGGTAAGTCACTAGAGAATGTAAATTTTTTGTCCATCATGTAATTGAGGGATTTTAGTATTTCTTGACACAAATGTTCACCATCATGAGATGTAGTGTTGCGTAAATATACTAGGTCTTTATGTCAAAGGTCAAGATCACACTTGTATATGAATTACAAGGTCAAGGTCACATGCAGAAGTGAAATGTCAGATAAAAAAATGTGGGAATTGATCATTTATTATGGATTTAGAGAGTATACTGTAAATGTTCACTATTGTGAGACTAAGCATTTGTGTTGGCTTATTTTGTGACAAAATTGCAGTCTTGTAAAAATTGTAAAAAAAGCTGCCATGAAAATATTTGATAGAATTGCTTTGTACACATGTATAGAAATAATGTTCAAGTTATTTTTCTTTCATCTACTAATGTTTCAAATTATTTTGTCAGATTTATTCTGAAACTTATTTGACTTTCATTAATGACATGTTTAAATAAAATGCACAGAAACAAATGTAAGATTAAAAAAATTGAAACTAGTCTGTGTATCTTGTTTATAGCTTCTTGACACACTTGATCACACATTTTCCAGATTTTTGTTATTTAATATTGTCAACTTTAGAATATTCTAGTTCTGTGTGAAACCCTAATCATAAGTAAAATATTGATAAAAATGAATCAGTTCAAAAATGTGCTGCCAGATTTCCTACAAAAAATTCTGAATCTCAAGGCTCCATGACCAACATACATTCTCATTAAAGTGGCAATCTAGAAAGTAGTCGCACAGCAAATAGGTAAGTATAGTCACGGACTTTGTAAATTAAAGTCCATGATTAGTTAAAAGTGTTGTAACATTGGATAATGATATTTACAGTCACACATCAGGCAATCTAGGAATTATTACAACCAAGCCTATTATCTTGTAAATTCTGAAAAGAAATCATCATTTTTCGAAGAATATCGAGAACTATTCTACTCATCCAGGCATCAGCGTTGCACTTTGGTTTAGTTTTTGTGTAAAACACTACTGAAGAGAATGGGTTCACTCACTTACTAAATAGGTCACTGCCAAAGGTCCATTACACTAATGGATTTTGTCAAGAGTTCTGGAACTTTTTGAACTTGAAAATTGTTTAATTAACAAGACAGGCTCTTGCGTTATTAAAGGTCAGTGGCCAACATGTTCACGTGTCAATTCATATGTAGAGAGAATAGTCGAGCAAAACGCCCCTACCAACAGCTGTTGATCCTTTGTACAGTCTACCTGTAGAACACCCTTTCCAAGAATGTAGTAAGCTCTAAAAAGCCTTTGGAAAGTCATCGCTGCCTGTATGCATTTTTACTGCTCCGTCTTTTCACTATTTCAGAGGTTTAAATATCGTGCTAGGTTGGCACATCTACATAAATATTTCACTTTTTTTAATGATAGCAAAAACAAACATACAAAGCGCGCGCGCACGCACGCACCAACACACACACACACACACGATTTGTAATTTATATTCCCAAATATACATTTGAAATTTTATCCAAGTCTAATTGCACTTGACTAAGATAGATCTATATGGGTTTAAATATTGTCAAACCCGATAGCACAAAGGACAAAATGGCGGCGAAGGGGAATGGGTTTAATGGGAGATAGGTGTTTTTAATAAAATAAAGGAAACGAGCTTTAATAGACTAAGGTATTTATCTATTTGCAATTGTAAAATGGCTTATCATAAACTGATTTTTAACAATGACCTGATATCTTTATGGTATTATGTACAGTTTATCATTTTTAAAAATGAAATATATTCACGCAAAATTTGCGTAAACATGTTGCTTCATAACAGTAAGGGATCGACTACTTATACATTTCAGTAAAATTTGAATAGCCCAAATTAAATGCAGATCTATTACAAATAAATTTGACAATGTTAAAACTGCACATGTAGCCAAGCTTGTTCGGGAAATTATAACATATTTTATTCCTTTAATTAAAGACAATGCTTATTTATCTAACATACAAGTCATTTAATCATGGTAAATCGCGTATCATGTTATTAGGTCTATTTAAAGGGTACACTGTTACAGAACAATACACGGATCGAGTTCAAATGTGAAGTAGTATTATTTGAAAGTATTCGAGCGCTAAATTATATATAATTTCACTAAAACTAAAAAGAAATAGTCTTTATGTTTTACTATTACCACGGTACATGTTCCCCCTTGTTAATTTGTGTCATAATCAGTAGAGTTATGTCTAGTATCACTTGATGTAGGGCTTCATCCTTGAAAAATATTTTACAAACCCTTAACTTCAAGTTAGTAGGCTGATAAACATAATAGTTAAGTTGATGCATTTTGAGTACAAAATGATTAAATGCAAAAATTATAAAGTAAAACAAAAACAAAAGGAAACTTATACAGGTAAAGTCCAATGTGATACATAAAGACTACAAAAATCCATTACATTAAAATGCAAAATATCTAAGTTAAATGAAGTTATTTATCTCAAATCTAGTTCCGGTGGGTGGAGGGGAGGTAAGGGAAGAAAAAAAGAATATAATATATATATAAGTATTGCAGTATTTAACTGTTATTCCGGTTCAAAGAAAATGATACTGCATAGTAGTTGTCAATCGCGCGTATTTCAAAGAATGAAAGGGTTTTGCGTGATTCATTACAACTTAATCAAACCAAGCCATCTCCCTTCCCATGTGAAAGTGTACAATTTGCGCGCCTCCTGCTGTTATTGTGCAGTCATAAGATCAAAGAAATATACAGTTGTAAATTCCAGACATATGGAACAGATTAATTAACGTTACAGTATAGGCTTGAAAAACATATCTTAAAGAAATTGTTGATGGTTACTAACAAAACATTAATGAATTTATATGCGATATAAATTACGATTTCCCATTCTACCTTGCCCTGGGTTATCAACTTATCTTTCAGACTGATGACCATAATTGCCATAATTTTTAGACTAATTTCCGGGACACCTTTCATTTTGAAGTGGGGCATTGATCAGCAAACGTATTTTTTTTTTAATTTACATAATGGCATACAACCTATATTTCCGGTATTTACAACTTGCAAATTTAATGACACCATAAACAAAAGACAGAATGTCAATAATTATTAACAGTTTTTCTATCTTTTTTAAGTATTTAGGCATCGTTAATTCAATCATTCACAGATTAGAATAAAGCTATGTTAAGTAATGACAATTAGCCATGTTGTTTAAATATCATTTTAATCTTTCATTAATTCATGAATTTCAGAACGAGTTATGGAAGTTTCTGGTAAACGAAAACCAAAAAAGACTCTTTCTCTTTCACGAGGTTCAGCTGAGGACTTTTTATTGTTCTGTATCCCGTGTGATAGAGATGGTGTCCGGGTACCAGCAAAAGGTTATTGTTTAACCTGTACAGAACATCTTTGTGACACTTGTTACAAGCATCACAAGAAACAAACTCCATCACGTCATCATATTCTACTAGATCAAGACTCTATGCCAACTACACCAAGCGTTCCAATCGTAAAAGACGAATTTGATAGTTGTGATGATCATGAAGACGAAAAACTGAAATTTTACTGCAGGGATCACGACATCGTTGTTTGCAGTATTTGTACAACACTAGATCATAGGACCTGCAATGTGGAATACATTCCAAAACTCTCTAAATATATTATAGACAGTGAAGAACTTAATGAAACAATGACAGAAATGAAAGCACTGGAGGATAATTATAAATCACAGATAAAGAGAGTAAAAGACGAGATAAAAGCTATTTCTCAAAACCACGATGACGTAATTAAGGCGATTCGTCAATTCAGAAAAGAACTAAATACACGTCTAGACAAAATGGAAAAACGTGTTGTCAAAGAAGCAGACAACATACTTCTTAAACAAACAACGAATCTAAATGATTTATCAATGGAGGTACAAACAATCACAAACGAACTGGTTGAGAAACAAGTACGACTACATAAATTGATGCAAAAAAATCGCCTTGATAAATTGTTTGTTGAAATGATAGACGCAAAGAAACGACTCGAAGATATGAGGGTGAGGCAAAAACAACATAGTCTAACAGATGATTTTCAAACTGTATCATTTGTCAAAAACATGTACATTGTCGATGTGATAGATAGGCACCAGAAGCTTGGAGAACTTATAACAATGAATACATCCATGGTTATACAATATACGGATAAGACGCTAAAACTTGAAGTTGTTGAAGATATTAATAGTTCCTCACTTGGTGAAAAGATAAGTGACATAACTGGGATGGACGTTCTGCAGTCAGATAAAATGGTTGTCTGTGAGTTTTCAAAAAGGAAAGTAAAATGCTTTGATACAGTACAAATGAGAATTATCTCAGAGATACAGCTAAGTAAATCACCGTTTGATTCGGCAGCTATTACCAATGACAAATTCGTCGTCACTGTACCTGATGAAAGAAGTATTCATTTCATGTCGTTAACAAATAGACAGATAACATCTGATCTCCATGTAAATATCAATGAAAGGTGTCATGGCATTGCTTGCAGCAGAGATAAAATTGTTGTTTCATGTATTGCAGTTCCCGGAAAAGTTTTAGTTTTGTCTGGTAGGGGTTAAAATATTGCAAATTTTAAAATTGGAGAAAATTTGGCTTTTTCCCTTTACCTTTTTTAATCACGTGAATACGAGGGACGTCTATTTTGGGATTGGGACCGGGGTTAACCTGAAAATGGCTTTTTAAAACAATTTGTTTTGGCAGGGGAACTTTTACAAAAATACCTTAAACCAAAAAACAGACGGAAAAAAATTTTAAGAAATTTGGAATTAGATGTTTGGCAATTTTTTTTGTGTTTTATGATTAAAGATAGTGCCCGAAAATTTGCGGGGGGTATCAGACAATTTGTAAGCCGTTTTAAGAAAAACGTTTAAATGAGAAACTTTAAAATTTTTGGTACCCGAAAGCGGTTTTGGCCCGTACTGTGGGAAAAAACTGGGAAAAGCTTTTTGTTTTCCTATCATAAAAGATTTTCCCCTTTGTTTTACTAGACCAAAATATCGGATAAAGGTGTTCTCGGTTGACTGGTGTTAATCAACTTAGGAATGTGATTAGAACTTGTAGTTGTGTAAAAATAGAGCATATATTGGCTCATGTTCATGTTAATACAATTCAGTACAAAACAAAATATTATACAATAAATATACAATACAAAACTAATTCAATGCAACACAATACAATACAACACAATGGAATATATATTTATTTAATGATCAGTTTATTTAAAACATATTTTACAACTTATATGTACACTACAGTGTAAAAGTATTATATAAGTTGTACAAAAATGTAGTTAAACGTAAATTTATCACGACTATTCACCACAATCAAATATTAAAAAAAAAACGTTCTTTTAAAGCTGATATGTTATCAAGTCCTGAAAAGCAAAACAAATATTTGAGATCAAATATACTTGTACGTACTAAACATTAGGCTAAATGGAAAATTTGAACATCATACGTTGTCAAATTGTACATTTTTTTGCAAGCAATATATAAAATATCCATTTAGTTGAACGATACCGAAACTTTGATTTGTATTGGTTTCCATATGATATTATAATACATTTTTGATATATTGTATGTGCTTCGGTAGTCAGAGAACCCAACTAATGGTCTTACTTTTCAATTTAAAGATCCTGTATGTTTTGTAATTGAGATTGCATACCACTCTTCATTGAATTATATATGTATGTAATTATGCAAATTTGTCAATTTTCAAAAATGGAAGAATATGTAAAATATGTATTGCAAATATTTGTACATATTTAAGGTAATCATTATAGATTCTATTATATGCATTTATTTCTTATTGGAAAACTAAATTCTAATTATCTCCCTGTATTTACATGAAATATTAAATTCGGTAATATCTTTATAAATAATGTTTTTTGAAACTTACAATATCTATAAATCTTAATTTGAGCATCATAATTTGTATATAAAACCATAAAAATAATGTGTTACAGGATCTTTAATTGCCCTCTACATCAATACTTTTTGCCCACCTGTGCTCCAACTTGTTTAACCCTTCCAAATATAATTCCATATTTTGGTCTTCAAAGAACTCATTGACCGCCTCCATGACATCTTCATTGCTTCCAAAACGTTTACCACGAAGCTTGGTTTTTATTTTCGGAAACAGATAGAAGTCAGAAGGGGCCAAGTCCAGAGAATATGGAGGATGGGGAAGAATTTCAAAGTCGCAGTTAGTTGCAGCAGCAATCGCAACTTGGGATGTGTGAGCTGGCGCATTGTCGTGCAGGAGAAGAATGCCTTGAGTCAGTTTGCCCCTCCTTTTACGCGCGATTTCTTTACGCAGATGTATCAATTCATCCGTTTATGGTACGACCTTGCTCAAGATAGTCAATCATGATTATCCCCTGACTATCCCAAAAAATTGAAGCCATCATCTTTCCTGCTGATGGCACGCTCTTGAATTTCTCCGGTGGGGGTGAGCTAGGGTGTTTCCAGTGCATGCTCTTTTTTAGATTCTGGATCGAAGTGATGGATCCATGTATCATCCTGAGTTACGATCCGGTAGATAAAATCAGGTTCATGCTCGTAACGAGACAAAATATGTCAAGCCTGGTCCGTTTCTGGTCGTCAGTCAACTGTCTGGGGACCCATCTAGCGAAACCTTTGACATGCCAAAGACATCAGTCAGAATTGCCTGAACTGAACAAAGCTTATACACACTTCCCAAACAATGCTTCGCAGGTCTCGCCTTCTGTCGCACATGACTAGACCGCCCAGACCACTCATCATCTCCAATGCTCTCCCTGCCCCTCTTAAATTCAGCAGCCATTTTTTCACACTGCTATAGGAAGGGGGCTCCTTCCCTAGTGTATCCATGAAGTCTTCATGGATTTCCTTGGGCAACATCCCTTTCTTACATAAGTACTTAATGATGGCTCTGATTTCAATTTTCTCCATTTAGTCTAAATGGCACACCCCTCTAATGACCAAAGTGTGTTTTATGTTACTTGATCTGTTTAAAACCGTAAAACTCGGTCAGTAATCTTCAATCAGGTATCAATATCGACGTACCGTGTGTAAATTTCAGTGTAGTGGCTAGAGGTATATCGGGCCGAGAACTTTTTTCTCATACCTCGTATGTAATTTTGTGTGTGTTGTCACTGCTTAGATTGATATTTAACATAGTAATTCTGATCTATATTGAAGTGCATACAATATGAAATTAACCGAGCAAAAGTTATACCGTGTCGGTAGTTTTTTCTGTAGTGTAAACTGTTGGTAACGTCCAATAGTTTGCGATTTACAAGCAAGTACAAAGAGATATTATGTTGTAATACAATTTTTCTCCTGACAAATCACAAGCAGTCTTTCGTTTCTATCAATGTCTCGAATAACTTTCACTTATATTGGAAACATGGGTTGAAATTCCTATTTTGGCTTTAAAAATTTGCATGCGTTTATTTAAACCGCTACGTATCTGTCATGCCAAAAATTATTTTAAAAGTTATTATAACACGAGCTTTGAACAGTTTTCTATAATTAACTGATGAAATCTTTGCAGAAATTGGGTGACTGTATGTACAAAACAGTTTACGTTTGTAGCAAATCGATATATAACCATGCGTAACCAAAGTAAGTTTTATATTTCGGTTGCCTAGTTATGACTTCTTTAATCCATATTAATAGAAAAAGAAAACTGTTACACGTTTTTACTTGTTTTTTTTTCTTGCATTCTTTATAACACGTTTTACCTGCTACTATGAAATACAAAACAAACATCTGTCAAATCTATTTTAAAACATTTCATAAAATTGTATCACTACTATTTTTCTAAACAGTTTAGAGGAAAATGTTTTAAATATTTGTGATATTTGACTACGTAAAAAGCGGTTTTTCATTAACTCCAACATATCAAGGTTAAATAAAAGCAGAACTGTTAAAGAAAGTATTTTTCTTCATGATATCACATTTTACTTAATGGTTAGTACGCGGAATACTATCTTTATCTCATTATAAAAATGACAACTTAATATTTAAGATATAATTAGATTTTAAAATGAAAGCCGATACGTTGAATGTGCGTTCAATGTAAATCTGATTTACACAAAAGGGACAATTAATCGTCGTTTGTACAAACTTTATACAGTAGCGTATATATGTTGCAAAGTCACTAAGCATAGTTTTACAATGTGATCAGGTATGTTATCTGATTTCGATTCAAATTGAATAAAGGCAAAAAACAATCTTTATAATTATAATGTTAAGTATTGTAATTGAAACCAAATGCGGGTAATAACTTTAATTCCCAAAAGACCCATTTTGGAGATCACCTTTTTGAATAAGTACAAGTAAATGTTCTAATATTCGTCATGTAGGTACGGATTACTGTTTATCTTACAAATTATCAGAAATTTGATATCAAGCCCTGTATTTAACTTTTGATATGTGAAACACCACTCTTTAGAAAAGGGTCAACCAATAAGCGATTGTTCAATATTCAAATCTATATCTTGTTATATCAGGTGTGTATGTACACAATCACGTTAAGGTTGACCGAATTATCTCCCTTACATGTTTGTTAAATATATTTATAAACATGTTTATACATAAGACATTATAACCTAATGCACTGGTCAACATTTTTAACTGTTTCACCCCTATCATCGGACATTTCTGTTCACGCCGTCCGCCAGCTCGTAGTGGTTTTTAGAAAAACGAACGTCTATTAGATTCAGTTGTGAACAGTTTACAATTAAAACAGTTTTAAAAATGTTACAAGTATATAAGCATTTCCAAAAAATGCTTGGAATCGTCGTTCAGCCTGTATCATAGGTGTTCCTACTTCCGGCCCCCCTCACCCACTCTACAACCCTCCTACCTCTCAAAACCATGTAACTGCAGTATTTTTTATTTGAAACATGTTTTAATATTTGTGGCATGATCGAATAAAAATAACTCAGAAAATGAAAATAAGTTTCCTGAGTTCCGGTCAGATTGCACATTTTTATCACCCTGTGACATGAGTTTACAATACATACAGCTATAGTATGATTTGAAATATTATGTTTCAATAAAGCATTATTTATTCTTCACGGTAACTTTTTTTTATAGAATTTTGACTATGTGTCCAGGTTTTGGCATGTTTTCAACAGTGATATGTTGCAATGTGTGTAAGATCAGTCTGAAGGCTTGCATTTATATTTACGTCATATATACGCTTCACAGGTGTACAGTGCCTAGTCAAGTCAGTAACTAATATCCCCCTCCCCAAGACGCCTTTACAATAACAAATAAAATCTATAGGAATGAATCAATTAAATAACATAATTATATCATTTACACATCACAAATAAATAAAAAAATTACCGTATCTGTCTTCCGTAAAACAAACAATATATTACAAAAGCGTGATCAAATGATGGACAATAGCAAATCTTTATTCTCAACTAAATTAATTTTAATTGATGTATTTTGCTTTAATCCGCTGTTCCTTTCATTGTCTATTTCCACCAATATTGACATAAAGAGGGTGTCAAAATTCTTATATAAAACATACTTTTTATTGCCTAAACGTTTAACAACCT